AGTGGCTTGCCATTGCTGCCTTCTAGGCAAGTTTCAAACTTCCCAGTCTAGTGCTCAGCCCTGGGGTTCCAAGTGGCCTCCCATCCAAGTACGAAACAGGCCTGATCTTGCTTAGCTTCTGAAGCCAAGATATGCCAAGTACTTTTACCCACTGGGACATGTCCATCTTTCAGGATGGACCACCGTTCCTGAAAGATGGAAATGGAGCCATAATAGCCTGTAATGTGGCATTTAATTATCTACATTGATCTACTGCAATGTAAACGTTTTCAGGACAGACAGAATCAATGTGACCTGGTCTGATTGGGTCTACTAGCTTGAATGTAGAATCTATGTGAAGGCAATGCTGCAGAACCACTTTCCACCATCTATTTTTTAAGGTTTCATTTTTCACATCTGCAAAGCCAAAACACAACATGGGAGGACAACAAAACCAAAAATTCCTTCTAGTAATAGATGTATCAAGTTACCCAGATAATGTATATAATGGGAATTCCCACTCATTATGCTACCTACACAGGATCTGAAAACTCACTGTCAGATTTTTGCGTCCGGTATTAAGGCACTTGTTATTAAATAGTAGATCTATGCAAAAAGAAAAAGAAAGCTTCACAAGGTGGAATCCCTACTTCTTTTGGTTGAAGAATTAGCCTATGAGCCTGAGGAGAACATTGGTTGAAATGAACATCTTAATTCCAGGAGAAAAAAACAGGTCTATCTTTCTTTCTCACCAGTAAACTACAGGAATAGAACCCACATGCCATAGTATCACCAACACCAAATGTGTTCCTGCCACTCAGCCACCCAGAGAAACCCACCACATGGACCTGGTAGGGATATGGATCATGCAACTGTCATTTCTGTGGAAGCAAAGGAGGTGTTCCATCTTTGGTGGCTGCCCCACAGTCTTCCTCATGTCTGGTCTCCTGCTTTCTGCTCTGTCCTGAACAAGAGCAAGCTGCTTGCAGCTTGATAATAACAGCTGATGCCCCTTAAGTGCTAGCACTTCAGCCAACAACAGACTTGCCTGTAGTGTTTCCTTTTTAGAGAATGTGTCTGAATGTTTACAACTTCAAACACGGCCAAGTAATGGTGGGTTTTGTATCCTAGCTACCACAAATGTTTCCTTCCAGTTTCCAGAACTGCTTAGATTATATTTCTCTCTTGGTTCAGCAGAACTCAGTCCTTCAGGATCTCAGCGGTGGTCTAGAATTCTTATCTTGGGGGAGACAAAAAACAGAATACAGGCATTTCAGCCCCAGTCCACCTCTCACGTGCATTGAGTTGCATGCATTTAGCCTTGCAAAATGTTGTCCTTACATTGCATGCCCTCAGTCAGTTTGTCAAGTGGGTGTAAAGGTTTCCATATCAGCCTATACATCAGTTGGGCAAGAACAAACCTTCTTTCACACCCAGAATCCTTGCTGAATCAGGGGCATATGTTTTCAAAAGGAAATTTAATTGTTTCTCTTGCTTTAGATTGTGGTGGCTGAGTGGGTGCTTGATTAACTCATATTATTCTAGAGATGAAGCTATGATATGGACTGAGTATCAGCTACCAAGCCAAATTTATAAAGCTCTAAACAACATGAAGTTGAAGTTCGTGGCAGATTTTGTTCCTTCCCATCTGCCAAAGACCTCTCCCTTTACTCACTACTGTGTTTTGCTATGTCAGTACTATGTATAAATGATCCCGCTCCCATAAAATAAATGTTTTAATTACTGGAATGTTGGGGTATTTATGCTTTGTATCTTAATGCTTGCTTTTATTTTTTAATTGAACACTACTTGGAGATATCCTGGACACAGAATAACAATGGACTAAATAAAAAAAAATGATCCACCAAGATTTATGCCCCTTAATTGTTCAAAGGAACACGCTGCTCCTCCCCCCTTAAATTATATTTCTGAAATGAAGCAGTGGTGGTTCCCCGCTTAAGCAGGGGAATTTTCTTTTCTTCCTACTGATATGCAAACAAATATCTGGGCTGAAGTTCTAACTTTGTAGGTCATGGGCACCAGGCTCGAGTGGGCGGGGGGTGAAATTTCAAGGTTCTAATAAAAAAGAAAGTAGATTTCCAGCCCTCCTGTGAAATAAGGCAAATGAGGATTTTAGTGGTGAAAAACAAACACATTCTCTGAGCCACTCTAACTTCTGGCAGGCACCTTCTCAATAGTATAATATTGCTTTGATGGCAGATGGCCATCCATGCCTTGAACTGGCAAATGTTATCTTGGCGGTCCCAGAAAAAAGACTGAGCGTAGGCAAATAGACAGATGGAGGAACAACCACTAAAGATGGGGAGATCTGGTGGAGAAACATGACAGTGAAGAAGGGCAGATGGCTGCTATCCTTGGTTCTTCCAAGGAACTCAGTAAACAGAACTGGGTTAGAATAAGGCTAAATTTTCCACCTAGAAATAAGCAGAAAAGGCTTTCCTCCAGTTAAAAAGTTGATGGGAGAGAGCCTTGGCGCTAGAAAAAAGTCTCTCTATGCCCAATTTCTTCCTCAGCTATATAGATCAGCATGTTCCTATTCTGCCTTGCGGCTACAAGGATAAGCTATCTCACAGCGTGAGTGAGATTCTTCCTTCCTTGAACACAAGACTCAACTTGGATAAGATGCTGGGAGACTCGATCTGCTCCTAAACATATTGTACAAACACAGCAGCTAAATGCATTGCCTTTAATTGTAGAAGACAACATGACACTCTCAACATACTCTGGATTATAACTTAACCCAGGGACTATGGGCAGTTTAGGCAAAAAATAAAATAAAATCTGTAGTCCTTAAGTTGCCAATTGCAATAAGCAAATAAGTTTATCTCTAGCTGAGATCTTCTTAGCCCCTGTGAGGATAGATAGGTTTTTAGCTGTTAGTCTTGTCTATCTTTCCTTCCTCTGCTTCTGAGACATAAGAGATGCACAAATAGGGAGATACCAATAGTGCAGAACGTGAACAAAGCTGCCATAAATACGGGAACACATTCTAGTTTACCACCAGTGCTATGTAAACATTAACAACCACAAGCGTTCTCCTTTCTTCTTGAGTGAATACAGAGGGCTATTTTCACCACACGTTCTATCATAACATTTTAACTTATACGGCAACCTGTATGTAGTAAATCCTTTTTCATACTTGGAGGGCTAAGTAACAAGCGCTAAGATTAATCCAAAGGCAAAAGAGTTTACTCCAGTTTGTTTTGATCACTGTTTGGAACCACTGCCAAAAAGCAATTCTTAACTGCTTCCTTAATCTCACTTCCTCTTACCCTGAACATTTACTTGGACTGTCCAAAGCAACTGCCTTTCAACTCACAGCCCACAAAAGAAGTTCATTACTTGTATAGAATTTCAGTAAATTGCTTTTCCACTCTCAATATTTAGACTGCAGCAACACTGAGGGTAGAATCACAGAGTTCAAGCCATCCCGTATAACCCACTGTTTAATTCAAGAATCCAGTTGAGCATTCTCAACAGCTGTCCGCCCTACTTCACTTGAACATGATAGAGCTCTTATGCTATCTCCCTAGTCAATTTGTTCCCCTGTCAAATTACATTTTTCATTAGAACCCTTAAATATTTGATGAGTAATATTATAGCTCCTTCTCTGAAAAGTAGAATGTAATTTATCATCTGGCTTGGCTAGCACAATTTGTGGACTATAGTTTAAGAAATGGGGATTCAGAAATGCAGTTCATGTATCTAACAAAAACTAAATTTGGGACACTACCGGGGTATTCAGTTAATGGTTCCCAAGTGCTGAGTCAATACAGCCCTATTGCAGCCAGGAGGCGGAAAGGAAGTCAAACTGGCAGAGGCTGAAAAGGGTTCCCACCTCTCAACTTCCTTCTTGTTGATATATTTAAAAAGGACTTGGGGGCCAGAGAAACAATACAAAATCCAAAGTGTGGGGCTGAAGATGCTGGACTTGGAAGATCACTAGCTAATTTTGGGTCAAAAATCAGGAAGAGTCTAGTAGCACCTTTTCTGACTAACACTTGTTATTAAAAGGTAGACGCTTTCATGAGCTACAGCTCACCTCATCAAATACACTGAGTGGCTGGACTGATATAATATTTAAATTGGAATGGGGGAAAGAGAGGGAGGGGAAGATAGGTTGGTTGTGCAGATGCAGATTACATGAGTAAGAAATTACAATTATGAATTGTAATGTGTTAAAACCCATTGTGATTGTTGGGGCCTTCTGAGATTGCCTGCAACCTTTTGATGTACGGGAGTTCAGTAATCTCTTGCTCAAGACGGTTGTTAAAGTCTTGTTTTTCCAAAATGGTCACTCTGAGGTCTGCAACAGAGTGTCTTGGGAGTTGAAATATTTTGATAAGGTGCTTGTAATCTGTCTTGCATGTTACCCACACCAGCATAACCACTCTGTCTCCTGTTCCCCAGCATCATCTCAATTTGAATCCTCCATCAGTGAAGCCACTCTATATATCTGATGAACTGCAGCCTGTGTGTTAGTCGGAAAAGGTGTTACTTCTGAGTTTTTGCTACCATAGACTAACGTGGTTCTCCTCCTACAATAACTTTAGGTCAGTCATTGTCTCTTAGACCAGCCTAAATTATAGGGTTCTTGTTGGGATAAAATTAGAGGAGACCCCCTTCCCTGATACCAAGGTGGGATATAAATAATTAAACCATCAAAAGGAATACGTTAAGATGGATTTCAAAACCTTCTTCAGGGTTAACACGGCTACATTTGTGCTTGTGAAATCAGCAACCACCACAGTGCAGCAAGGAACATCCACAATGGCTTAGTCAGAATAGTTATCTGGTTATACCCATAGTAATTCAACACTGCAGAATCTGTCTGCTCTCAAATCTCTCAGCTCCAATCGATGACCTGAATTTTTCAGCATGAAAAACGGCACCACTCCAAAACACTTGGCTGGGATTTGGTCAGCACGTAAGTCTTATTATAGTCAGCTCCTGGATGTTTTTTAATTGAAGAACCAACTCTGCATCCCAAAGGAACATACCTGATGACAAAAGACTCCCACTACTGCCACTGATAATCTTTCCTTTGCTGCCCATGTTAGCTAATTTGGAGGTCTTCAGAGTTCCAGTTTCCGTCAAGTCAATGGCAATTTCACTTAGGCTTCTTGTCGCATGAATTTTGGACTGTGGAGAAAGGAAATGAAGAAATCCATGACTATGAAACAGAAACCTTACCTTAGATATTTCTCTTCCACCTGTCATCAGACTGTTTCAGCACCAACATCTTATCACCTGTGTATGACAGTTTGTCGAAAGCAGTAAGAACAACTCCCCAAAACTGCAGGCAAGAACAGGGACTGTCATCTGCATGACCCTGGTGCTAATAGATCATATGCTGAAAGACCTGAGGTGATTAAAACTATGATGATGATGATGACGACGACGCCTTAAAAAATGATCAAGGCTGATCCCAATGATTACATTTCAAAAATCACATGAGTGTATAAAAGTCAGAAAATTGTTCAGCAATGAAATAACTGATCTCCACTCATGTCCAACTCCTAGAAAGTTTCACAAGTTACATCAAATACATGAGATTAATGAGTCATGGTCTAAGACAGTGTTTTTTAAACTTGGCAACTTTAAGATGTGTGAACTTCAACTCCCAGAATTCTTCAACTCTGGGAGTTGAAGTCCACACATCTTAAAGTTGTCAAGTTTGAAAAACCCTGCTCTAAGACAACAACACAGTTCAGAAAAGACACTGTAGTTTATTAACCTATGCTTCTAAATGTTGATGTACCTGGTACAACCTTTCATTGCCTATTAATGCTAAAGGTTTCCTGCTAAAGATGAAATCTTTTAATAAGTCACATCTGTTTGACAGTAACTCTGATCCTGATACATCTTACATAGTTTAGATCAAAACAGCCTATAACAATGGTATCCAGATTCAATAAAGGATTTTTTAAAATTATCTCAACCCTCTTCCACAGAAATAACCAGCAAATTAACACCACTGTTCTCACATGCAGCATTTATTTTCAACAATAAGCATTATCTATAAATGTATCTGCTCAACTCCATCTTATGGCAGTTAATATATAAGCCATGTAAAGAAGATATTCTTATGGTTCTGGTACAACTACTCATCTGATAGAGATACACTGATGTTATTTTTTGTTATCTAGGTAAATCTCAGTTTAATCAATTCAATAATCAAATTTGTCTCAAGGGCATCATGGCATATTCATACAGTCCTCTGATATTTTTCATGCCATTCAGAAGGCAGTTGTCAATCCATACATTAAACCCACTGATGTTCACTTTTACTGTCACCTACAAATATAAAGCAAGCATTAACTTCAGATTGGTCCTCAGAATTAAATAAAGCTGTAAAGAACATTAACTCCAAAGAACCTATGAATTTGAAACAGTTATCTTCTCCTTCCAGAATATTCTGTAGTATCTACTATGCATCTAGTAGGTACAAACTGGCTACCAGTTATTTTGGGTTAAATTATAAAATTTCTAGCAGGGGACCCCACCCCACCCCACCCCAATCCTGGAATAACAGAAACCTTTTGGATACACAGACTTCATCCTCTTAACATCCCACTGCTTTTAATACTAAAGCTCTTCTCGAGGATTTTGATTCTTTTGTTATCACCTTAGTTTCCTTTTATGACTAATATCACTGGGCTGAGATTACCTTGGATTCTCAACATTTTAGTCCCTGAATTTCTAAGGATCTGTTCTGGACTCAAAGTATCCATAAAGACCCAGGTAATATCTGTTGAAATATGTCAACAGACACTTCTGGATTTATTTCTGTTACGTAGTTCACTTTTTAATCAGCATATTCTTTTTAATTGTTGCTGTTATTGTTCTATGTCTAACTAATTAAGAGAAGAAATATACATGCAACCATACTAACAAAATAATGTAACCTTAACATGAATAATAATGGTGATATTTTTTAAAAAAGGAAATGTATAAATAGAACAATTCTGCCCCAAATTGATCTTGAATGAATTAACCTTTTCTTAAAAAACAAAACTCAAACCAAATGTTGGCAAGCAACACACATCTAGAAGCCATCACTGCAAATCAGGTGTAGATTTCTTCTTGCAAGTTTGGGTAATCATTGTCACCAACCCCCATTCCTGAAAAATCTGCAATTCTTGAGGTTGTCATAGATTCCAAATAGAGCCAAGGAGAACCACAAGGCAAATGAATCAACACCTTCAAGAGCAAAGATGATCCCAGGGGATTCATGGGGTCCCTCATACTGGTTTCTGAAGCTCCAAGAGAAGTCTTTCTTAAACTTTCTACAATTATGAAGCATTAAATACTCAAAATGCATGGGAACTATACAACAAGCACCCCCTCCTCAATATTTTTGGCTTCAACAGCCTAACAGCACACATTTTTTTGGTGAACAACATTACAATTATAGTTGCAATTATTTCTGTCTTCCATCTCCTCTATTTTTAAAGGCCTTTTTTAAAACTAAATTTTGTACCAAAAAGAAAAGGTAATCCAAAACTAAATATTTATTTACCATAATAAGAATCCATAGCACAAACGCTGGTTGAGAATGTTCTTCAGCAAATGTCTTCTAGTGCTATCGTGGTAGTGTCAATTGGATATCCAGTCCAATCCTATCCCATATTTAGTTAGTCATCATTGCATTTCTCCTACTTGTACTTTTTTTGAGGTTGGTTGTGCAAGATCACAGTTGCACTTAGCATGACTGATTATGTGCCATCAAGTCAGTGTTGACTCTTAGTGACCACATACATAGATATTATCCATGGTGATTTGTCCCTAACCTGGTCCGTCATGTCTTCCAACAGAGCACTCATCACTGCTGTAACTCAGTCCATCCACTTCGCTGCTGGTCATCCTCTTCTTCTCTTTCTTCCCCCTTTCCCAGAACTAAGGCCTTCTCTTGAGAGCTCAAGCTTCACATACATATGCGGAAATAGAGTCAATGAATGTACTCCAGACCTGCTTACTACTGTCAATTTCCTTAATTTTAATACTCATACTGTTACTTGTACTACCCCTTGTACACACTTCAATGAGCCAGTTTTCAATCCATTTTCGTGACCCAGCTGAGTAATGCTGACAGGAGAAAGTCAAGGGCTGAGGAGGTGACTATTTCTGGCCAATGAAAGCAGGAAGGCTGCAGCAGACCATCAGGTGGACCTCCAGAGATCACCTATGATCTGTGGTCACAGTTTGAAAATCACTGCTCTAACAACCCCCATGGAATCACTGCTGCATAGTTGTATGTGTGTGTGCTTTTTTTTTAGTCTGCTTTCAATCGTGACCAATTCTACGGAGACCGCCCGGACGAGTCCCTGCAGTTTTCCTGGCAAGTTTTTTTCAGAAGTGGTTGCCACTGCCTCCTTCCTAGGGCGGAGCCCAGCTGGTGGTCGCAGGAAATCGGGTCTCTTCTGTTGCGCTGCGTCCAGCAACTGGCAACTAATTCCCATTTTCCTGTGCAAGGCGCCACCAGCGTTTTTTCCTCCCATTGGAGTGAGAGTACCTATTTATCTACTCGCTTACGCTTTCGAGCTGCTAGGTGGGCAGGAGCTGAGGGCGCAAGATGGGAGCTCATCCTGCCGCACGGAGCTTGGGCTCCAACTGCTGAAGTGCCAACCATTTCTGGCCGGCAACTTCCTGTGTCATTAAGCCGCTGTGCCAACTGTGTCTCTCAAATAGTTGTATGTGTAACTGCTACAATAAACTTAGCCTAGTTGAAAAACAGAGACAGGGTTCCTCACTCTAGCACAAAAAGCGAATGGAAGCTGAGACACTGCTATTGTGATAATTCTCAAGGAAAATCCTTTTCCATTTTGGACATGCAGGAAATACTCTTCCTTTCTGCTCTGCTCTCCCCCCTCCAATCTGTGGTGAAAGAGCAAGTTGACATGAAGGAAGGAAATGGAACATAATGTCACATTTGGTACAAAGATGTTACTGGGGGTGTGCTTTCTTAGAGGGTCATATGATAGGACTGCACTGTACAAAACTAACAGTAGACGCCTACTATATATTTACTTAGAAGTAAATCCTATAATGTTCTGTGTGGCTTCCTGCCAGGGATAGATACATTGAGCTGAAGTCTGAATTCTCAAATACATTTGCAGTGCAGGAATATACAGATGCAGCTTTTGTGAACGTTGTCCTATATTCACTGAATCGTTCTTTCACCTCTCAGAGGCACAATGCTTACATTTTCTAAAGATTAATTACTGAAGCAGTTCAGTTTTTTATGACAGGAGTGAAGCAGATGTGTTTCTTATTATCCGTCTTGCTCTTCATATTGCAGCATTTGCGTTGCTGTGCTATTGTTAATTGTTTTGGCTTTCATTGTAGAACGAGAAATGGGATACTAGCACAAACTTAAAGTGAGATATTCTCCATGGCTCAGAAAAAATCGATTTGGAGCCTCACACTTCAGAAAGTCAATTCACTCCTGTCATAAAAAAATAAACAACACACCGGAGGATTTCCGCTGCCAGAACATAAGCTCCTTCCTGCCTTCAACCGTTCAGCCTCTACTGACAAGGAATCCCTTGGGTTAAGAGGAGATATATTTCCTGATTTCCCGCAACATGTGGACTCTACCTCCATAATAGAAGGCATTTTACTTGGGTTTAAGCAACAAAGGTCACCATTCCATGAACTCATTTCTCTCTCTCTAAAAAAAAAAGGCCAGGAAGCAGCTGGTTCAAATACATCCCAAGAATTTAAGTCAACAACTAGAGATTGACCACTGCATTTTCAAAATATGACAAATAAATAAATAAATAAATAAAATACGCCAACATTCCTCTTTGGACATCCATGGCAGGTAATGGTGTTTAGGCACTACTTGTTTGGAGATAGATGGCACATTTTCCCTGTTGTGAATGAACAGTAGTAACTGCCACCAAGTTTATGTTTATTGCTGAATGAAAACTTCACTGAGAACTATAACTAAGTGTGGGCTCCAGCTGAATGAACACGTTGGATGTATCTACTTCCAAACACATGGTGATCTTGTCTGGGCTTGGAAGCTAAGTGGCGTTGGGATTGGATGGGAGACTGCTAGAAATCCCAGGCCTGTAGGCTAGACTGGGAAGTTCAAGGTATGTCCCTAAAGTCACTAGGGGACAAACTCAACTCAAAGGAAGCTTTACCTTATTTTTATGTTCACGCATCTCATTTTTACCATTTTGCTTAAAATATATTAGCTGATATATTAATGCATTAAGCAGGTCCTTAAGGGGGAAAGTTCTGAACCTCCTTTTTTTCATTCTGTTTGTAGGCTAGACTACAAAGCTGAAAAGCATCATGGAAGAAGGCAATCACAAATTACTTCTCTACTCTCTGCCTAGCAAATGTCATGGATATGCCTGTGTTGTCATTAGGAGTTCAGCTCAACTCAAGGGAGCCTTCACCTTTTGCCAATGGAAAAAGAATTTAAGCCTATGCCCAGATGGTCTTTGATATATGAACAAGGAACAATCTGGGAGAATGATCTAAAGTTTCACTAGATATACAGATTGCAAAAAGCAACCTCAGTTCATACGTGGAGCTAATTGTGGGCTCTGCTCCTTACAGAATTACAAGTAAAATCTCCTTTGAGACAAATGGGTCAACTGGCTTACCAGTTTCTGGGATCTTCAACTTTGCCTCCTGCCTACAGCCCCAGAATTCTCCCATCCAAATACTAAACAAATCTGAACCTGCTTAGCTTCCAAGCCTAGAATAGGATGTACCCCACTGCTGAGACATAATCACAGGGCATAACCCATTGTTGCTACTTCACTGTAAGCAAAAAGGAGAAAGGATTCAGTTGAGTGCAGTGAAGGTCATCCTATTGGTCCTTGTGATTCCCTTGGGATACTTTCCCTGTGTCCCTAAGAAGCTGTATTCTGCTCCATGAAAACAGAACCATTCTAAAGCAGAAAGTGAAAGATACAGATTTCTGGAGGGTCCCTGGATTTCTGATGCAGCGTGCCTGCATTCCCAAAGATGTCCCAACTATCTACTGTAAGCGGGTTGGGGAATGGAGGGAAAAAAAGTGCTTGAAAGATTTAACCAAATTGTCAGTGTGAAAAACTGATTAAAGTTAAGAGAATGCTCCATTAGGTACTGTATGCGGTCATGGAATCCAATGGCAACTGAATTCAAGAAATATGTCTAACAACAGTTGATTTATAAACAATAGCTGTTGATGTTTAAATTGACTATAAATGATTATGACTGTGACAATTACTCAGGTTCTTTATTACCCTAAGAGTTCTCATTCATCTCAATTACAGCTGCAAAAATATTGGCGCTATCAGAGTTTTATTTTGCTTTGGCTAAACAAACATTTGACTTCAACAATCCTAGAAACCCCAACCTGGTCTTAATTATAAACGCCATCCTTGATGAAGCAGCCACCAAAAAGGAAAGGAATTTGCTTCCCACGCGGATTGATTCATTACCCCAATGGAGCCAATGAGATTAGCAGTGGTTTAGGCGACCCTTTTGAAACCTGACTCCATCCAATAACTTATTTCAATTATTTTCAGGCAGCACGGCTTCCTTCAATAATCTGGCCCCTATAAATCTCTCTGTGTTTCTACCATGCCCATTCCAAACTTCTCTCATTTAGAAAATATTTAAAACAACTCTTTCACAATTCTGCCAAGCCCTGTTCTGATTGACTTCATAAAAATGACCTTTCAGGCAGTTTTATTTTAAAAGCCTACAAAGTAGTCAAACGGATTCCTGGTCCTCATCGCATGCATCATTTCTGATGGGCTGTTCATATTTTAAAGTTTTGTCTCCACTAAGGGAAAAGCTTATTATAGGCAAATTCTTATCTGAAAACCATATTGCATTCTGAGTTAGCTTTAAGAATGCCTTTGTTTCCTAAAAATAGGAGTCGGAAAGTCAGCTTCTGAAAGCAAGAGGGAAAAAAAAAATACTGTATCTACATTTATTAAAAAAAGAACAAAGATAAGGGGTTTTGACTATATATTTGGCAATGTTAAAACTGCTTTGTTATTAAACATCAGTGACTTTTTAAAATTTCACATTATGAATTAAATTCAACAAGCTCAAGATAGTAAGTAAATAAATAAACCAATAAGTTCAAGATATTCATAATTGGCTATAATAAGCTGCTTGAGTCTGCATTTGCTATTGTAAATGGCTAAGCTTCTTATAAGGGAGAAGTTCAAACACTAGAAATCCAGATGTCAGAGGAAGAGGTTTATTAGGACTGAAGGGCATTGTGTCTTTTCCTTGTTATGATTTGATTGTGAATTTTAAGCACTACTTCCATAAATGAGCTTTAGGTCTGGACACACTTTGAGCATCATTTGGAAGAAGCACTTCGGACATTGTGTAAATCAGTGTTGTCCAAACTTGGCCACTTTAAGATGAGTGGACTTCAACTCCCAGAAGATGCTGGCTGGGGAATTCTGGGAGTTGAAGTCCACTCATCTTAAAGTGGCCAAGTTTGGACAACACTGATTTACACAATGTCCGAAGTGCTCAGAAGATGCTGGCTGGGGAATTCTGGGAGTTGAAGTCCACTCATCTTAAAGTGGCCAAGTTTGGACAACACTGATTTACACAATGTCCGAAGTGCTCAGAAGATGCTGGCTGGGGAATTCTGGGAGTTGAAGTCCACTCATCTTAAAGTGGCCAAGTTTGGACAACACTGGTGTAAATACACTGCTATACACTGAACATTTTTCAGGCTACCCCATGAGCTGACATACTGCATTGGCCAAAGCCCCAAACCCTTTTTCTGAATTATTTTGGAGGCACAGACTGCCCTGCTGAATTCATTTGACCATATTTCTTAGAAACACAACAAGCTGCCAAACTCCCAGATGGTGCCAAGAAGATCCATCAAAACACAGAGGAAAGTGACCTCTAAAGAAAAAAAAAAAATCATTCAGTGTCACTGTGTTGTGCTAACAACTACTGATATTCTTTCTAAAGCAATGCAAAAGCAAAATTTGCAGGATTTCCAGACAGGGAGGAAGGAATGCCATAAGAATGGGGCACTCTGGTGTCCTGTCTCAGCCCAGGGCCCTATAAAATTAAAGACAATGCCTCGGCACAGGAGAAAAGCAGGTTAAGTGCAAAGGTAAAGAGTTCAGAGTGTTTAGAAGACTCAAGTGGGCAGGATCCCAACATAAATAGAATTCCCTGAACAATTTACAAGATTCAGAGTCAATGCCTGCATACGTTTTCCTGATGATATGAACTACCACACGAACCCCTGAAGAGTTATTAAACGTCCTTCCAAATCTTTGCTTAGAGCAAAGAAGAAACAGAGAAGGATCGCATAATAGCATGTCATAATATTCTGTACACCTACTATGAAGTTGATATAAGGGCCACCATGATTTGTGAAGCATTCACACCATAAGGGTGAATTGCCTGAAGAATATTTCTTGCCCTGGGTTATTGCAAACTATTTGTTTGTGGTTTGTTTTGAGGTAGCTGTGTGGTTCAAATGATGGCTTTCCAGCTAGAATAAGTCAGAAAAGGAACATGGGACTTGTTTCTCTGGCAATCTCATGCATCTGAGTGATAGGACAACCTCAGAACAAGCCACAGGCAGGTGGTCTGCAGCTTTGTTGCTTGGAGCAAGAGAATCCCGAAGTGCCTTTGTGGCTAAACATAAGCTAAGTTTGCTGTGTTGTCTGAAGATGGTATAAAAGAGAGGAATCTCTGTATGCAAAGGAGGGAGAAGATGTGTCTACAGAAGCATTAAGTGGTCTCACATTCAAAGCCAATTAATCTAAATGCAAAGCCCAGGTAAAATTTCTTAGGAATAGATGATTTCCTTGGTTTGTTATCTGACATTAAGCCAGATTTCCCTATTATCAAAAGAAATAGGAAATTCTAATTTAACGAAAAGCCAGAATCTTCGTCCTGAAGCCGGCATATCAGAAGAGGTACATCAGGCACAGTACACAACCATGCAATTCATCTATAAACCATGATGGATGATTTTCAAATGGTGCTTATTTTTTTGGAAACTTCTCTTCTTTGAAACAATGAATGCTATTGACCACTGGGCTTTTGCAATACTGAGAAATTTTACTTCTAGTAAACACTGACTTAAAAAGAGCAGACCTTGAAGATTAGATAATTGATCCAATTCATAGCCTGAAAAGATCGTCACATTCTACAACCCAAGGTTCCCTACACATTTCTCCTTCTCACAGAACCCACAGACCCTTGGCTACAAATCAAGAGAGACAGGAGTTGTGGAAAACAGATTTCAACCACAATTGGAATACCATCCTTGTTCAGACGACTCATGAATGATATGAAAGGGAATTGTAGGGCAGCCATATTAGTCCATGGCAGCCAAAAATCAGAAGGAATGTAACAGCACTTTTTCCAACCAAAACTTTTATTAAAAGGCATAAGCATTCATTATGCCTTTTAATAAAACGTATTACTCTGAAAAGGTGCTACTGAACCCCTTCTACATCCCTTCTTTTCTCCTTATTCCATCTTCTTCCAGTGTTGGGCTCAAGGAAGTCTGGTTAGAACAGGGTCTACAAATGAGTCTACACAGAGTGGTTCTCTTCCCTCTCCAGCTTATAATCCTTACCTTGCTCTGCTTCCTATCCAGGTAAAACTGATGTTGGCTAATGGCCATAGCCCAGATGGACTTGATCAAGGCAGGGCAGGCGTACCAAGTGTGCACAGCAATTCCACTATGTCCAAAAGTCCTTCTGGTCACGGATGCCCTAGAAGGATAGGAAAAGAGCAGCGTCAACGAAAAAGGCAAGCTACGCTTCTCTGTTATGGTAGGGTATTATTTTGCTCCCCATTATTTTTTTTTACAGACTTATTTTGCATAAGACCCACTGAAAGGGACTTCATCAACTACAAAGATGTCCCCAACTGGAAAAAGTACAACTTTGCTTTAAAAGAGTTAAACTTCCCTAACGCTGAAAGCTTCACTTAGATAGTCAACAGTGTGATGGGATTTAGAACCACATACAGATCCTCTTACTCCTGATTAGTGGGATAACAATTAAGTTCTGTGCTTACAGTAAATGAATGTTAATTCTATGTCTGACATCTGCTGGATGGGGGGGGGTCAATAAAGTCAAGATGGCAGCCACAATCACACAATCAAAGCACTGCCCTTTTGTACAGGCAATGCTTGTAAAAAGGGTGTAACTTCAATCATATAGTCACAGCCATCATCTTGAATATTTTGATTCCCCATCCCTTCCTGGGGATACCCATGGACTTTGAACTGAAAACTGAAAGACCGTTTGCAAGTTTTTTGGAAAATGTAGACCTCCCTATTCACCTATTCATTTAATTATTAAGTTGGCTCTATTTTTTCCCCCCAACATATATTGACTCCCAAGGCCAGCATCTCCAGAAGACCTGAAGGAAAAGGAGGCTCATATGAGACTGTAATGCTGCTGGTTATTAAATGTATACATCTTTTTTAATGCTTATATATTAATATTGTAAGCCACCCAGAATCTTGGGGGGAAGTAGATGATGGATCCATTCGTAAAGTACGCAAATAAATATGAGAAAAGACAACCTTCTCCTCTTTGAGAAGCTAGTATAGTGACTCCCAGTAGGCACCTCATCGTCCTCTCCAGCTGCTTGTGAAATTAGGTAGCATGTACTGGCTTTGCTTAGATACAGAGCTGCGTATGGAAGAAAATTGCTTCTATCTTCACTATCTCAACTACTGACAACTCCTGGAGTCATCTAGTCCAAAAAACAGCTCTGTGCTTTATGAACAGCTTATGATTCTCAGCATCCAGTCAAGTCTCATTGTTCCTGCCATCAGAGTTGAAAGATCGCTCCCATCTTCAAGCCTCTGATCATTCCATTTTTTATCTTCTTTTTAAAACTTCCCATCAGTTTCCCTAAAGAGCACTGTCCTGGACACTATCTCAGATAGTTTCTCTCTTCCTCTGATTCATGGCTGCTTTGGATAATGTGAGTGGGCTTACAAAATGGCTTTGGAAGCCCTGAAGTCTTATTTAAATTCAGCTTGACTTGTCCAGCTAGAAACCATGCAACTTTCTCATGTTTCCCATTTCAAGTACTAACCAGATCCAATCCTGCTTAGCTTTTTGAGATCAACCAAGGTCAGCCATGCATGTCAACCTAGCTGGGTTTGGGAAGTCCCACAGAGTGGCAACGGGCAAGGAACCTAGTCTGTTCGTTGAAACTTTCTGCTCTACAAAAGCAGACCTTGAGTACACTGCCAAATGACTGCACAACTGCTCTACCTAAAACTGAGATAGATATATTCAATTAACTTTAAAGGCATTCCCACCATGAGCTTGCTTCTAGATCAGTCTTGCTCTCTCCTAAGTCTTTCATGCATCTAAATGGAAATACTCTGCTACAGTTAATTTTAAAAACAGACCATACTTAAAAAACAGCATGGTTGCTATTGCTTGGCTTCCAACTCAGTTTCACCGAGCAATTCATCTTAAAATACCATCCCATCTGGCTAAAAGCCTAGAATCTTAAGTATGTTCCCGCTGGATCCAGATTTCCTAGTTGGCAGTTACACCGTGGATAATCTTTTTCTTAATTATTGGATTAATTATGTCAACATATTCTATGTTGATATTAATATAATTTGGTATCATTAAAAGGCAAGACAGAAATTAAAAAATTCTGCACAATTACGTGGATTCTTGACACAGAATGTGGATTTTTTTTCCTGGATCAACAGAATGACATGAAAAATCCAGGATTCTAAATAGGCTACATCTTTGGTTACTACTGTGGTGTAATTAAGTTGTTGAATTTTTTCCCAAAGGAAACATCAACAAGTTGTTTTGAATACTTAACATTGTGAGGTTTGCCAAGTTCAGAAATTGCTTTGTTTGTAAATGTCAGTGACTTTTTTCAATTACACGCTAGAAATGGAAAGAAAATGATTCCTCAAGATATTCCTACTTAGCTATAGTAAACCCAACAAATCTTAGCTTCCCAGTGTGGATGCTGTAAAAGGTAAGTTTCTAACACAGACATAAAGTAGAAATCCAAATGGCTGAGGAATTTTCTGTGAGGGGCAGGGACTGACATCAGGTTCGAAGGTTACCATATCTTTCCCTAGTTATAATTTGATAGATGCATTCATGAGTATGTGCATGTTCCTTTTCTCCCCTAAAGTGGGAAATATGCTCAGTTTAACTCCTACATAATGCTGCTTTAAAAGTTAGTTCATATCCAGGTGGCTGTCTTCCCAAACATACAACAGACACAGAATACGATCTATGGACACGGGGAAATTTAAAATCAAGCCACCTCAAACAGCATAAGGAATGCAAAATAAACCCCTTGCTTGCATCAAAGTGAAGTGAAGCAGCACAGTTCTGAAGCTGAGAGAAGCAGCATTACAAGGCAGAGTTTGATCTACACCGGTCCTCTTACTTCTCTTGAAGTTTTTTCATGTGAATTCTGCCAATGGTCACTGGAGAATAACATGGGGGTGACATTCTTGGAATTCTTATCACAGGCACGTTGTGCTGAAAGGAATTTTGCTGTGCCCAAATAAATTTAGCTACTTCCATCACAAACACTATGTACTTACAACACCGTGCAAAAGCTCTTATGTGCTTTAAAAAGGTACCCACCCAAGATGATTAAGTAAACCAGTGTTTCCAAAACACTTCATACAAACTGGACAAAACTGATAAAGTTTGCATAAGCCAGAGGATGGGTTTTAAAAGGAAGATGAAAAATGCTGTGCCAAGGTAAACACACCCTCTTCCAAGAAAAATGAGCTGATCAATTCATGCAAATCAGCCCACCCCGAGTATGCCTTGTTGAATTGCATAACTTTTTCTGCAGAAGGGGATGGAAAGACTGAAATCCTTAAATGCTCAATTCTTAAGGAGCCAAATCCAGGGTTTGTGAAATTCACCAGATTTCATCCAGACATTTTCAACCTTATGTATTCTTTTAAAAAAGCCACAGTGTCTAGCGTTTGATTTTTAAAGAACCTTGTTGGGAAGACAAATCCAACCTTGGACTCTACATGCTTGCATAGAACTCCTGGGATTTTTTCCCCCCCAAATCTAAGAACAGTTAATTTTTTTAAGTAATACAGGAGCGTTCATCAGGCAAAACATTCTTATCTTTACCAGCTGCTGATACTGATGTACTACATTATATTAAATTGCACTAATGTTGTTCACCATAATTTCCCTCCAATTCAGTTTGATGGAAAACTGCAGGCAGCCACACAAAAAAACCAGTCTAATTTTGAAAAATGGTAAGGTATATGGAAACACATTTGCGGTATGTCCTGGAACAGGATCTAGCTGAATCAGTTAAGTTTAACTATGTGTGTTCCCAGGGGTGTATTTAGATCTGGGGGTAACGCTGCGTGTGTGTTTTTTTTAGTCAAATCACAGAGGGAATAATCTACTAGGAAGATAATAGATGGCAAGGTCTATCCAACCATAGAAAAGTCTGGTCTCGAAAAGGCTAGGCAGGATTAGAACTTCCATGGGAGAACACCGGAAAATCTCAGAGTTCTTGGCTGGACTCACAAGTCAAGAAAAATCCCAGAAATTTCCATCCAGTTGCCAAAAGGTCCACATGGACAGGCCTATGTAATCACGGGGAGTTGAGCTTACGCAAGTCTTGCTGAAACCACCATGTTCTTTTACTCTTATTCATTCAGCCGGGATTGCACAGGAATGCTTCCGGGTGGACTATGGCCAAACGTAACATTTTGAAGAAGCAGAGGGTTAGTCATAACAAGATTATAATTAAAGCGTACCGGATTTGCAACTATTGCTTCTCACATTTTTAACCCTGAGCCTGTTGCAGGAACTTGGGAAGGCCACACAGATACAGAAGCCTGGTTTACACATGCCACTGTGAAACACGCTGTAAGTTGACAACCAGCAAGGAAAACATACAGCCCCACAAAACACACTTGATATGCCTCTTTGTGCTGGAAAAAAGGTTCTAGATACCAACATTTATGCTGATGAGGACACACTTTAATTGGAAAAAAGGTCTGGTAGGGAAACAAACGAACGCCCCCTTGCCAGAATCTGATTTTCAAATTTTCAAGGGAGGAGATTTTAGGACCATGAACCAGTTTGCACCAAATATTGATATGTGCACAGTGCTATAAGTTGCTGCTTAAACTGGGGGTGGGGGGCAGGGGGGAGACCTTGTAACAAGTTGGCAGAAATTGCAAAGACCAAAGTAGTGACTGCAGAAAGAATTCTACGTACAGTTTTATTGGATTACCTAATTATGCTTGCTGTGGACTGGAGAGAAATTTGGAGAGAAACTAAGGCCAGTGATGAAGTGAAGAATACCAATTAGTACAGATATAAGAGGGCATCCTATAATAAGTGCATACGAAATAATAGCCGTCAAATTAAGGGTGAGGAGCATATGGCTTATAATAACACTAAAGCTTCCACATCACCATTACTGTTGAAAGCAATAATTTCAGAAAGCAATTTAAAAAGAATCCATGCAGGCTGGGAAGCATCGGCATTGAAGTCCACACTTGTGGAAGACACCGGGTTAAAAAACTGCATTTAGGATGTCACAAGTGTTCTTGGGGTTCTTGGGGTCCTTGGGGTTCTCTGAGCTTGGTTTTTTTTTTGAGGAGGTTTTTTTGCCCGGTAGGGAAAATCTCCCGGGGTGTGTGGGGGGGGGGGGCGTC